CAGCGACTCCCCTGCACAGACGGACAGCTGGCACACCTGGCCGCCCAGCCCTGGGAAAATCAGGCTGCCGGGAGCCCCTCACCCTCCGCCACCCGGACACCTGGCGAGACGACGCGGCCCGGCCCCCAGTGGGAGCCCGTCTGGGTCATGGGTGCCCCTGTGGGTTCCCTGGGTAGGCAGAAAGACGCTCGGGGTCTCAGAGCAGAACCGAGGTCTGCCTGCTGCCTCCTGGCAAGGGACAGAGTGTTTATTCAGTGCCTCCTGTATGCTTCTCTGGAACCCCTCGATGCAGTGCACGCGGCTTAGATTCACCCCGTTTACAGAGGGGGAAACTGAGGCTCGGACGGAGACGCAGCTCACGCAAGCATGGACGTGAACTGTGTTGCGGTACAAAGAAACAGGCACCCTCACGCACCCCACCGTCCACCCTGTCTCCCAGGGCAGTGTCCAGTGCCGGGACGAAGATCAGCGAGGGGCCCCAGAAGGACGGAAACCCTCGGGCAGGGCCCGCCCGCTTCTCTCTGTGGCCCACGAAACCCCGCCTTCCTGCCCCCACCCCAGACCAGAGAAGACAGGACTTTGCCCTAAGTCGCACAGCAAGCCAGGGGCAGCGCTGTGGCCGCACCAAGCCCCCTGCAGGCTTGGGCACGTTCTCCTGTCACCTGAGCCCAGGGTGCCCTGCGTGGAGACCCCCCAGGCTCCCAGGCCGAGGCATGGCAGACCTTTTCACACGGTTCGCCCCTCGTCAGCCATGCATTCAATCCGTGCTCAGGGCTCGATCTTTCTATCATCTGTACACTGGAAGGGACCCACGTCCCACCAGTTAACTGCAGGAGTATTTTTTAGGTTTTTCTTTTCTCTTCGGGGTTTCGAGGACTCAGAATCCGTGGGTTCTAATTCCACTCGGCCTCTTAGGAGCTGTGTGACCTTGGGCAAGGGCCTGACTGTCTCTGGGCCTGTTTCCTTATGGGAAGCATGGGAGAAATCCCTCTCTCCCAGGGTGGTGGGCAGAATTAAATCACTCGGTAAGTGCTCACGGTGGCTATTACCTCTGTCGTTATGGCTGCCCGTTCCGTCCAGGAGGGGTTGGGACCCCCCCATCCCCCGTTTCTCCTGCCCCACTCCCTGGGCCGCCCCTCTCCACTGCGAGCCTCCCAAGCCGGCCCCTGCCCACAGCGCCATGCTGGGAGGTTGGCACCGCACAAGGCGGGAACAGGAGGCCGGCCCGCGGCGGCGTCAGCACATGGGCACCAGCTGGGCTGGCGGCTGGGGCGGGCTGGCAGCTGCCTGGAGTGCGGGCCTGGCAGCCCCTCCCCCACCACCCGTGGCACAGAGCCTGCCAGCCTCAGGTTTCCCAGGCCGACGGAGGGGGCGGGGAGCCTGGCTGGGCTTCAGGGCTGGGCGGGAGGCTTCCCTCTCTGGGCCCTTTCTCCTCCAGGCTCCTTCCCGAGTGCCAGGCAGGCTGAGGAGCGCCGGGCTCACCCATCCCTGGCCTGCCCACTGCCCTCTCCAGCGGCCTCTCGGCCACCGCAGCCCCAGAGTCCTCGCATCGGCTGCGACCCTGTCCGGTGCCTTCTCACTGCCCCGGGCCTCCCTCACCAGCTTCGAAAGTCACCTCCTCCGAGAGGCCCTCCCTGTCTAGAGCGCCCCGCACCCTCTCACACCCCTCCTGCTTTATTTACCTCCCGGCATGTTCTTATTCATTTAACTGTGGACCGTCAGCTTCCCCGTCCCCTGCTCAGGGGCACACGGCACCTCGCCACCCCAAGTGCACGCACTTAGCAGGCAGCTCATGTCACCCCCTCATCACAGTACCCCCAGCTGCCCCCTAGCCTGGCCCTAAGACATGCACTGCATCCAGTCCCTGGAACCAAGCTCCTCTGGCCTCGGTGACGCCAGATAGACACCTGGGGCAGCCAAATTCAGCCCCAGGTGGTGTCCTGGGCTCCAGCAGCCCAAGGCCGAAGCGACCTTCTCATGGCTGGTCCCCACCCGTACGTTCCCCAGAATAAACTGCGGATAGAGGCCTGGGATTCCCCTTTGGGCACGGCCCTACCGGTCCACCTGACACTCTGTGGGAGAGGTAGGAGGCTTGGGGGGTGGGGCCGGGCCTCGGCCAAGGACAGGGGAGGGCCGCGTGCCAGCGGGCAGGCCTGCGCGGTTTCCGGAAGGCTCTCTGTGTCTCTCTGTCTCTCTGTGCTTCTGTCTGCATCTCGGTGTGTCTGTCCCGTCGGCTCCGAGGCCTCACTCCCAACATTGGAGGTGGTACTTCCTTTCAGCTATATGGCAGGTGCCCCCCAATATCCACCCTGCACCCCTCCGGAGGCCCACTGAGGCCTGCCACCACCCCCCATCAATCCCGCGGGCTCCCAGCAGGGCCGAGTAAAGTGGATGCTGTGCTCTGGCCTAGGCTGGGACCCCATCCAGCCCTGGGACCCACAGGCTGGGAGCTGGGAGGTGGTGGCCAGTTCTCCCTGCCATTAGACTGACATCTGCCTGGCTGAGAACAGACGTGACTCTGGCCCAGAATCAGGACAGGGGTCCTGGGATAAATGTCAGGGAGCCGGGGCTCAGCAGCGGTCCTGGGGGACGGCCTCAAGCCTGGGGACCTTGGACGAGGCCTTGGCTGGTGGAAGCCTAGGACACAGACCCGGCCTGGAGGTCTTTCCACACTGCAAAGCGCGACTCCCCTCCATCGCTCTCTGCCATCAGGCATGGGAGACTGGGGAGGCAAGGTCAGCGACAGAACCTGCGTCCACCCAAGTCCCACTTCCGCTCTCGACCGTGTGACCTTGGGCAGGACAGGTCCCCTCTTTGGGCCTCTGTTTCCTCCTCTGTGAAATGGCTCCAATTCCTGCCTCTCAGAAATGGCAAAGACTCGCCAAGACCTCAGGAAAAAAATGCCCGTCGGAGAGAAAGTGGAGCTGAGAGTCGGGGCTTTGAAGCATAAGCAGGAGTTTTCCACATGGGAAAGGCATTCCAGGCAGAGGGAACAGCATGAGCAAAGGCCCAGAGGTGGAAAATCATAGCCATGATGAAGACGTGCAGTGCCCATCCCAGGCGCCCTGGCCCTGTGGCTGGCACCCGTCTTCAACCCTGCCAGGGCTGTTGACCACTGACCGTGAGCATCCGACATCCCAGCAGGTGCTTCTTTCCGAGCTTCCCATTTTACAGACAAGGCAACAGGGCAGACAGGTTAAGTGACTTGCCCAGATCATTCAGCAGCAGGCGGTTGAGCCAGGGCTGGAATTCAGGCCCAGCTCTTGTGCCCAACCCTCGCTCCTGGCCAGCTGGGGCTGGGTCAGCTGGGGCCAGTGAGCAGAAATTCCCCGAGGATGATGGAGCCTGCTGGAAGCAGGGGAGGGTGCAGCCTTGACCTTCCCTGGCCCTCATTCGAGGAGGCTGACCAGACTGGCCGTCAAAGGCATAGCAGCTAGGCTTGAAGGTGTCTGGGGAGGCCTGGAGGCCTGGCCTGCCTGCTGAGCCCAGCGGGGAGAGGACCGGCTGGGGGAGGGGAGGCGCCCGGAGATTGTGCTGATGCCAGCAGAAAACTCTGCTTCAAAATTTTATCAGCTCAGCGTGGAGGAGGTGGGGGCTGGGCTGGAGCCGGAGACCTGCATGGTAATGAGCTAAGGCCGCCCCTGCCCCTGGCCTCCCTGGAAACAGTCACCTCGCCCACCCTCTGACTCTACTCCCCCCACCGCTTCACTGCAGGCCCCAGGGGGCTTGTTGCTAATTGGCGGGGCTGGGGGAGGGGGCAGATCAGGTCAAGGTCGAGGAATCAAGGTCAAGACTGAGAAAGTCTGGCTGACTCTCCCTCCCACCACACACTGCAGGAGCCGGAGCTCCATGATCTCATCTAATCCTTATGCCATCGCTAGGAGTCTGCATGGTCCTTAACCCCATTGTACGGAGGGGGACACCGAGGCACAGAACACTATGTCCAAAGTCACACTAGGACTACGTCCGAAACACAGACACACAGACAGGAAGCAGTGGCCCTGCCCTTGCCACCAGCACCTGTGACCTCGAGAGAGACTGGACCACACACCCAGCCTCAACATCTCCGCCTAAGCTGCTGACCTCCAGGAACACCCCCATCCCTGTCACCACCCAGCAATCCTGCAGATCGGCTCAGCCACAGTTCCTGTCCCAGGGAACTGTCAAAGATCTCCCCACCCTCGCAAACCCTGCTCGTCCTAACCTCAGGCACCCGACCACAGAACCAGGCAACACCCACGTGGAAGAGCTGGGGCAGGGGACCAGAGAGGGTGGTGACCTAGCCACAGTCACACAGCACCTCGGCTTCCCACTCGTGGCACACGTGTGTGCCCCGTCGGGCCTCTGCTGGAGGTCTGAGAATCAATCATCCAGTGTTCACAGCGCACAACCCCATGACAGTGCCTGCCAGCCCCCTTAGACATCAAGGTCAAGGCCTGCCTCTACCTTCAGACTCCTCCCCCTCCCCCTCTCCTTGAACCCTATCTCTTTCCCCTTAGACCAGGGGTCCCTAACCCGTGGCCTGTACTGGTCGGTGGCCTGTTAGGAGCCAGACAGAAAAGCAGGAGGTGAAGCTTCATCTGCATCTGCAGCCGCTCCCCAGAGCCAGCATCACCGCCTCAGCTCCACCTCAGATCATCCCGCGTTAAAAGTCTCACAGGAGCACCGCACCCGTCCCTGGTGCCACAAAGGTTGGCGACCGCTGTCTTAGATCTTCACGACGCAGGAGCCCGCCCCTGGGACCCCAGTGTAGGCCCACTTTCCGGCTTAGACCCTCCATTGCGCCCGCCTCTCAGCTTACGGCGCATGAGCAGCCTCCTCCCTCCGCGGTGCCCGTGGCACATCCTGCGCCGACCTTGCAGTTGCCCGCCCAGGCCCCCCAACCTCCGTGGGTCTGCCTCTTCCCTTGGACCTTGCGTGGGCCTGCCTCCACTGTCGGCGGGCAGGTGCACCCCACTTCCCCCACACCCCCCTCTGCCTCCCACGCACGCCCAGCTCACCTCGCTCGCGCACGAAGTAGGCCAGGTAGAGGTCGAGCTCCTTGACCGCCACGCCGATGTGGTGCGGCTGCACGCAGAGCACCGGGTGGCCGCACTGCGCCGCCTTGACCAGGCGCTCGCCGTCGGTGCTCTCCAGCGGGATGCCCTTGAAGAGGATGACCATGACCAGGTCCAGCCGCCACACCTTGTCGGCCTGGCGCAGGCAGTCAATCCGCCGGATCTTGCCCTTCTGGTCGGGGTTGGAGAGCACGCAGCCCGGCGCCTTCTTGCCGGTGATGGCCAGCACGAAGTCCTCGCGGCACTCGGGCCGGATGTCCTTGCGCAGCTTGGCCAGCAGCCGCGACGCCCACTTCTGCTTCACCTCGGCCTTCTCGCCCAGCAGCTCGTCCTTCACCGCGCGCTCCTCGTCCTTGGACATCCGCTTCTCATGCTTCTTGAAGTACTTGCGCTTCCGCGCCTGCAGGTTGAACCAGGTGTAGGCGAAGGCGCGCACGTGGGGCAGCAGCGCCTCGATGAATGGGTGGAACTCATCCTGCGGGCGGGAGAGGCCAGAGGTCAGGAGGTGCTGGGGCCGGGCACCCACTCAGGAGACCGAGGCCTCCTGCTCAACAGAAAGGGCCAGACAGACCCCTCAGCCTCGCGTGGAAAACGGAGGGGACCTAGCGGAAGTTCGAGGGGGGGGCCGGGCAAGAAGCCATTGCTCAGATGGGGAAACCGAGGCCTGAACTAGGTGGGACGCACAGGCCAACATTCACCATGGCTGAGATGTGAAGGGCGGCGCCGGGCCCAATAAAGTCCCAATAAAACTTTATTGACAAAAACGGAGGGCGGGCACTGGGCCCCTGGACCATAGTGTGAGCTCTAACGGGGAGAGCAGAGCTGAGCACACGGTGTGTGCTCGCCGATGGCAGGAGAAGCCAGGGGCGTCCAGGGCTGCCTCTACTGGCGCTTGGCACAAGGAGCCATCCCTAAATACCACACATGCAGACAGGACTGGCTGAGGCCCCCACCCCGCTCCTGATGGAAAGGGGTGATTCCCGGCATAGACCCATTGCAGGGGCCAGGAACGCGGAGGCCCGAGGAAACACGAGGTCAGAATGCTCTCGAGACAGAAGAGCTCAACCGTGGGCGTTCAGAGCTGAAGAGAGGGCTCCTGGGGGCCAGCTCACCCTACCCTGTCCCCCACAGAACTATTCATTCCCTAGATGGAAAAACTGAGGCTTGGGGAGGCTGAGCCCTGGCTAGAGCTGTGACTTCAACACGCCCTCCCATCGTGCCTCATCGGCATTGCTGGGCCCACATTCCATTTCACAGACAAGGAAAGTGAGGCTCCAAGAGGGGACCCAGTCATGAGGAGCCGGGGCTGGACCCCACAGCCGTCTGACTTCCCCTTCGAAAGCTGCAGCCCAGTGGGGCCCCGCAGAGAGCCACACGGGAGGCCCCCGCCCCTTTCTACGCGGGAGGGAGGCCATGTCATGCTCTCCATTTTCCAGCAAGGGACACGGTCTGCAGAAAACCCGCCTCACGGTTTTTGAGCCTCACGGAGTGAGACACTCACGGAGAAAGGAAGACAGAAGAAAAACATCGGTCTCCCCTCTTGCCTGCGCTTCTTGAATGGGGTGATATCTCTTCCTGGCTTATGAACCCCATTATTCACCCAGCTTGCGCTGTTACTATTACTATGGATGTTGTTACGATTATTTTGGTTGCTTGCAATCTTCCAGGGGACAGGAAAAGGCCCAAGGCTCTGCTCCCCCATTGTATGATGGGGAAAGAGGCTCAGAGAGGGGCAGACACCTGGCCTAGGTCCCGCGGGGTCTCAGGGCCTGTGTAAGGATAAGAACCCTGGACCTCCCCCACCATGAAGGCCATTGGTCCCCGTTCTCAGAACAGCCTGCTCTCCAGTAGGCTGGGGTCTCGGGAACAAAGGAGAAACCGCTGCTCTGGGCTCTTGGTTTGCTTTCTAGATGGATGTGGCTGGGCTCAGCCCCGCCTCCAGGCCTGGATGCTCACAGTACCCCTGCCTGGTGCAAGCTCCCTGCTCTGTACTCCGTCTCCCCTTGGGCCATCTCTGGCCATGGGGTGCTAGGGAGGATGGGGGATGACCTCAGATTTCACCTATTACCGAGGCTCTGAAAATAGCCTCCCGCCCTCGCCAGGGTGGGGCAGGACGGGGCTCGGCCTGTGCGCCCAGCTCCCCACTCCAATGTCCCCCGAAGCGTGAGTCACCGGAACAGCTGTGGCAGGCACTGGACCTCGGGGCCCTATTCCGCTCCCCCCGCCCCGGCTCCTCGTTAACCTGGTGAGGCAGAGAAAGGACGGAGGGGGCCCTTCCCCTGCCAGTTTCTGCCCAACCTCGGACTTGCCTGTCCTGTGCCTGAATGCCACTTGACGCGCCAGCCCCAGAGATGCGGAGCCACTCGCCCGGGGTCACATTGCCGGTCGGCAGAGCCGGGGCCAGAGCCCGGGCTGTCTGGCTGGAGCAGCCGGGGGTGGCATCGACAGAGGCGCAGGCCTCTGCCCCCCGTGGAGGGGATGCCAGGGTGGCAGGGGGCCAGGGCGATGGCAGGGACGTTAGGCCGTGGCTGCCACCCAAGTTCTGGCGATCACTCAGGCCCTGATAAGCAGGAGCTGGGAAGGGACAGCCACGGTGCCAGCCAGCAGGGACGGGCGACCGTCCGCCTCTTCCTTGAACCCCTTTCTCTGAGCACCCTCCGCTTCTGAGCCCCTCTCCCTCAATTCCTCTTCTGGGTTCGGGGTTCTCCTCCCTGGGCCCCCATCCCCTCTCAGCTCCTCCCCAGTCCGAGCCCCGCTCCCCGCTCTGGGCGCTCTCTGGGGAAGGGAGTCAGGGAGCGGGCAGGGGCGGAAGCCCACGTCACCGGTGACTCCAGCTGGTCCTGGAGGAAGGGAGACAAACAGTCTGTAACTGGGTCATGGACTGGCTGCCCCGTCCCCCCTCGTCCTCTCGGGGAGGTTAGGCCAGGTGAGAGGCAGGCCTGTCACTCTCTTTGTCCCACAAGACCTGCAACAACCAAGGCCTCGTCCCCAGGCACCTCCCGATGCCCTCGCTGGCTGATGGGGAGGAGGAGCTGGCCAAGACAAGCTGGATGCCGAGAACCCTCCTGAACTCCTACACGTCCCTCAAAGCCCTAGCTGCTGTGGTCCTTCAGGCAGCCTTTCCCGCCCTCCTCAGGGTTCCCCCAGACCTAGCCTGGGCCACGCAAGCTGGGGGCCCTGAGTGCAGCTCTCGCTCCCTCCCCCAACCCCAAGGCCCAGGGCCGAGGCATCCACTGCCAGGCAGACCCTGTGAGGGAACGAGGCTGGGTGACATCAGCTTCCATTTTCACCTTCTGTAGGACCCAAGAACAAATCACTGCTCCACTTTGGGCCTCGGCTTCCCATTCTGTACAATGGGCGGAAAGGAACACTGGGGCTTGGGGAGCTTGTCTATCGCCCTGGTAACTAGAGACGCGAGCTCCAGGGACAGGGAGCGAGGCCAGGCCTTTCCCGGAAGCCCCACTTGGCCCACTGGGACTTCCTGGCCAGGGAGGGCACCAGCAGCTGGGAGGTGAGCGCCGAGTCCAAGCCCTGGCTGGGCCCTGTGGATGGGACAGCTGCGCCCTGAGCTGTGCCCCTCCCTGGGACTCCCCGCGGCTCTCCCACACTGACTGTCCCGGGCAGCAGACCAGGACACGAAACGCCACTTCTCACCCCAAAAGTGCTCTGGGAAGGACTCTCTCTCCTTCATCCACTGAGCCACTCAACAAACATTACTGTGATGACTCTACCTAAGAGCTCATCCCAAACTCCTATGCACCCTTCAACGCCCTGCTTCCAAGGTCCCATCCTCCAGGTTAAGTGACAAACGGCGGAGCTCACACGCAGACGCAGACCCATCTGGCACCAGAGTTGAGGTTTCTAGCACGGGGCCACCCCTCCCTGTAAGCTCAGTGCCTCAGTTCGTACCCAGGGAGGGAGAGTCCTTCAGGTGTCCCGCAGATATTTACTGAATGTCTGCTGCATGCCAGCTCCACGCATGGCACCGGGGACCCCGCGGGGACCTGGGCTTGGCCCCGCCTGGACCCTGATCTGGGGCAGGATGGACATGCAACAAGCCAACAAGTATGTAACACGATGTCGGGCTGAACAAACAAGGTTCGAAGAACTTTTAAAGGAGCTTGAGGTGGGGCGGGCCATCCCTCGGAGGTTGATTTTTAGCTGGGGGTGGTCATGGAGCGTCCCCCGCAGGAGAGGACACTAGAACAAGACTTGAAGGTGACAACGCAGAGTGGGAGCGTTCCAGGCAAACGACACATGCAAAGAGCCGGGGGCAGGACTGTGCCTAGGGTTTTCCGGGACGGTGAGGAGGCCGGCGAGGCTGCTGCAGGGGAGTGGCGGTGGGGGGGGCAGTCAGGAGGGCACGGAGGGCCGGGCAGCCCGTGCGAGGCCTCACGGACCCCAGGGTAAACCGAAACCAGAGAGTGTAGGCCCTGCCACACTGTCCAGTGGGTCTCAGTCCCGGGTCCCCCGACTTCCCTCCCTGTGGCTTGGTGTCTCAGGAGGAGGATGGGGGCTGAGCCACAGGGCCACCGCGTTCGAGAGAAACAAGTGCCTTCTGGAGGCTGAGCATTTTTAGCTGGGGATGGTGCCAGGTGCACCCCACCTCCCCCAGGGGGTGGGGTGCTCACTGTTCAGAGGGAGAGACCGGGACAGCGAGCATTGAAGTCACCGGCCGAAAGCTGGGGCCTGAAGCTGGCTCCCCGTGACTGCACCCCCCGACCCCTCGTCCCCTCTGCTGGGCCCCTGGAGCACACGGTCTGGTCCCAGCCGTGGGGCCCCCCCAGCGATGCCCGCTCGCACCCTGTCTGCTCCCCGAATTCCACGGGCTCCTGTCCCCACTCCATCCCGGGACGCACGCCACCCCCTCCTGCTCCAGCCAAAGCAGAGGCCTGGTCCTGCCTGCCACCCTGTTTCCTGCCCTTCCCCTCACCCAGACTGCACCCCCTCGAGGAGACAGATTCAACCTGCACCCCCAGAACCCAGCCCAGTAAGGAAGTCACCCCTGCCTGTCACCCCCATTCGCGTACCCCGGCTGACAAAGGCTGCTTGTACCCACTCGGGTCCGGCCAAACCCAGGCAGACCCTGGGCAGGGCTGGGCCGGGAGGAAAGGCCGACAGAAAAACCCTCTGGCATCAAAGCTCCAGTTTTTGTGGGGCTGCTGCCAGCCGCAGTTATTTGGTGCCTACTGTATACCAGGCATGAGCTAAGGGTGAAGCATCGAGGCAAGGCAGGGTGGTGTTCCCCACTGGGGACACGGCGGGGGAGAGGCTGAGGTTCAGAGGCTCGGGTATCTTCCCTCAACTGGTAGAGCCACCCACCAGTCACTCACGCAACAAACATGTATGAGCGCCGACTGTGTGCCAGGCCCTGCCCCGTGCCCAGCACCTGAGGTGCCCAGCCTCCCAGGAACTTCAGGCAGCAGGGGACTTCAGAGTTCCCGCTTACTTCATCTCATGGGTGGACACGGTGGGAGGAGGGGGCAGGTCACTGCCCAGAGTCACAACGCTGGAGAGAGGGGGCCATCCTGAGCCTCCTGGGCAAGGTCTGCATGCAGGCCCGAGGCCACCCCCAGGGTTCCACGGACCCCCACGGGGGTGGGACTGTGTCCCCATAGGTGTCACGTCGGGGAGAGCGCATGAGTGTGCGGCGGTGTGCGGCTCGGCCCGTGGGCGCCCCCGCACTGCAGACTGCGGTTGACAGTCACTGGTGCACGGAGGGACGCGGGCGGGAGGCCCCGGGCCTGGCCTGGCGGTCAGCAGGCATTTCCCATCTGTTTGGCATGAGACAGGGAGGGAGGGAGGCTCAGGCAGAGACAGACAGACAGACAGACAGAGACAGACGGAGAGAGAGAGAGAGACAGAGAGAGGGGGAGAGAGAGAGAGAGACGGAGAGAGCATGAGCATGAGAGAGGGAGGAAAGGAGGGAGAGAGGGAGAGGGAGAGGGAGAGGGAGAACGCTGACTCGGCCAGATCCCAGCTTCGTGATTTACAAGGCGCCGGCAGTGGTGCTGAGGCGCCCCCACCGCACGAGGAGTGGGGAGACAGAGAGACACAGACACGGAGGGAGACGTGGGTCCAGGCGGTGCCTTTCACAAGATCTAACCAGAGGCCGTCAGACCCCGGTGAGGGGCACACAGGCCGTGCCCACCTGCCCAGGACTGGCCCACCAGTCAGGTGGGAAGTGGCCCCACCAGCCATGCTGTGCCGCCTTGGGCAGGCCCTGGCCCTCTCTGGCCTGGACCCCTCTCCCGGCCCAGTGGTGCCGGGGAGTCCTGAACCCACAGAGCCCACACCAGGCCGACTTCACCGACCACACACACACACACACACACACACACACACGGCCCATGGAAGACGCTTCTTGAAGACCTAGTAAATCGACCGAAAGTCGGGGCCCTCTCCCAGCCTGCGTCCCTGCTGTAGAAATGGCAACAAAAAGAACGCCTCCCTGAGGAGGGCCGAAGGAATGAAGGAAAGAATGAATGAATGAGGGAGGGGGCCCGGGCGGCCTCACTGGCTGTGGCCCCGGGGAATCCTGGGCACTGCAGCCAAGAGGGATTTGGCCCCAAACCCGGAATAACTATAACGTGGCCGAGGCGGCAGGCGGGAGGCGGGGAGGGAGGCCCAGAGCAGGGCGAGCAGGGAGGCCGGCCTTCCCGCCGGCAGGATTTATGGAAGTAACGGCTGCTCCACACAGTTCCTCTTAAGAGTAAAAGTGAAAAAGCGCTTGAGTCACCACCATTGAAACCAGGACCCGGCTCCCAGCATC